AATTGTGAAACTCGTGTATTAAATAAATTAAATGCACACAGACTGAAGTACTAAATATGTGTGGGCACGTAGGCTAAAGGATAAAAGAGTTGTTGGTAATTTGAGCAATAAACTAGTGTTAAATCCTCAGAAACAGACAAAGTCGAAACTAAATGTTCTGATGAAACTCTTTAACATGTTTTGGAATATTAATACTGATGTTTGAGCTATTCTGACAGTATTTCAACAGGCAATAATGACTGTCTATATTCATAGGGCACCAGAGTGGAGATTTCTGCCAAAAATCTCAGAGTGATGGACCAGATGCCACCTTGTGCTCCCAGGTATCACTGACTCTTGCTATTTAAAGATCTCACTGACAATAAAAATTGAAAGTTGCTATTCCTGGTGGTTTGGCTTCGGAGTTGAATGAAACATCTACAGTAACCAACCCCTTTTTTAATCCTCATCACAGGCTCTTCAGGTTGTGTTTACCCCCCTCTGATGGAGATCTTTGAATGAGGTCACATCCTTCTCTCAGACTTTCTAGATGCTGGGAAATACCAAGACTGGCTTATCATTTTGAAACCATGCCTCAGCACATCTCAAATCCCAGCCAGCCTCATCCAGAGAGGTCCGGCTGAGGTCAACACGACAAGGATTGAGAACCATCTGGCAACCTTTATCTCCTGCTCTGGCAGCTGAGAAAATTGTTAATGCTAACGATGCTAATCTTGGCTAGCAGTGTCTGCCCACATTGCTTCCACACACACACACACACACACACACAGACACACACGTTGAGTGCAGTGCAGTGTGCTGACTTTGGCCTCTTACTTTGTGTTTTTTTCCTCTCTCTTTCACAAGCATTAAATGCAGAGATTGCACTTTGCATGCTGTACAGACTCAGCTAAGCCTTTATTTCTCAGGCTTAATGAAAGGGGTACAAGGAGATATTTAGAAGTGGTGAATGCTTTGATATGCGAGTGCGTATTTGTGCCTGTATAGGTACTTACTGTATATGCAACGGAATTTTGCTGATGGTAGTCAGTTATTGGCAGCTAATTCAATCAGAAGGTTAAGAATATAATATTCTAGTCTAGTATGTAATATACAACTATATACACTCACCGTTCAAAACAACTAAAGTAACCCAGCACATTTTTCAGTCTTTCATCCTCAACATTCACACCTATATGAAGCCAGACCAAGGTACATCAGCCCATTTGGAATTCGTATAAAACCTCACTTGGAGAACATGAACATCAATTTGGACATTTTAACATCGACACATCTGTGCCCAATACCACCTTGGAATATTAAAAAAACAATTATTATGATGAACTTGGCCCAGTATAAAGAAACAAGTAGTCATCCAGTTGTTTACCAACAGGAATTTCTGGATATAAGGCATAGCTTACCATCTCATGTCCCAGTGTATACAGATGGATCAAAGCCGGACAGTCATGTGTCTGCAGCAGTAGTGATTGATTCAAAACGTTTTGGCAAGTGCATACCTGGACAAAGTTCAGTCTTTACAGCTGAAGCTTTTGCATTGCTTTTAGCCCTGGAGCAAATAGAAAAGGAGCATCATCGTCATTTTTTAATTTGCACAGATTCTAAATCTTGTTTGCAAGCACTTGAGACTTTAAAAATGGATCATCCCATAATAATCAGTATAGTAGAAAAAGTGGATCTTTTAAAGAAACAAGACTTAAATATATTTTTTTGTTGGACACATGGGATTTGCTGGCAATGAACAGGCTGATAAAACAGCAAAAGAAGCACTCCAGAATGCAAAATACCAGCAACTGACTTGAAACCCTTATTGACTCAAATGGAGTGGAATGAATGTATACATAACAAACTGTATGAGGTAAACCCACTATTGAATCAAGGTATAAACTATTATAATTTTGAAAATAGATATGATCAGGTTGTGTATACGAGGTGTCGAATTGGTCATACAAGACTCACTCATTCTTATCTGTTGAAAGGGGAAGAGAAACCCCCAAACATCTTTTGAGTATAAAACATATTTTAATTGAATGTCCAATTTTAAATAATACTAGGCAACGTTTTTATTCAGAAAATATATTAATTGACATTTTTAAAAAGAATTCTCCTGGGACGATTACATTTTTTTTGTCATGCATTAAGCTGAAAGACTCTGTATAATTGTTCTTATTACTTTTGTTCTTGTTATTATTTTTATTATATGTATGTTTTTGTATATTTGTACATATTTATTTATAAAGTGAAGTGACATGTGAAGTGATATGTGGCCAAGTATGGTTACCCATACTTGGAATTAGTGCTCTGCATTTAACCCATCCAAAGTGCACACACAGCAGTGAACACACACCCGGAGCAGTGGGCAGCCATTTATGCTGCGGCGCCCGGGGAGCAGTTGGGGGTTCGGTGCCTTGCTCAAGGGCACCTCAGTCGTGGTACTGAAGGTGGGAGAGATTATGTATATCATTTTCAAACAAAACTGTTATATAATTGTTTTGAAATGATATATATGACTGATTTGTGAAATTGAAATGTTTCCTCTTGCCATGAATATAGCCACTGCTGCTGACATGGCGTTAAATCATAAATAAATAAATAAACTCACCGTTCAAAAATTTGGGGTCAGTAAGATTTAAAATATTTATATGAATAATAAATCGATCATAAACATGTGACAGCAAAGACATTTGTGATCTTACAGAAATACTATTTCAAATAAATGCTTTATTATTTCAAATAAGCCTAAATAAGAAAAGTTTTTTTCCCCAAATCAATTGGTTCCAAATGTGCACCAAATCAACATATTAGAATTATTTCTGAAGGATTATGTGACACTAAAGACATACCATTTTTGCTGTATTTTTGATCAAATAAATGCAGCCTTTGTGAGCACAAGAGACTTCTTTCAAAAACATAAAAAAAAATCTTTCAGGACCCAAATCTTTAAACAGTATTGTAATCATTAAGACATTACTTAATTGTGATTTAATGTCACCTAATAACAAATCATTGTATGTTCTTGGTTCAGTCTGGAGAGTCTGGTTTTGAGAGAATTGTACTAATGGGGTGAATGAGATAAATCAATTACTCTTTTACCTTATTCACTGCTGACTCAAAGAATGTGTCCTTGCTGTGTCTGTTTGACTGGCCCAATATAATCTACTCCGCTTTACAATTTCCAGATTAGACTGTGGCCATTGCCAACATCAAGAGCAATAACCAGTCTGACAAAGACAAAAGGTCTTAATGATTATTTGTTTTCATGTTTAGGTAACTGGTTTATATTTCTTACATCTGATGTTCAGAGGTTCATCAGTTTCACAAATAGTGAGTGTCATAATGCTGTATTGTTGCTGAGGTAATTGCAGTCTTACCAAGCTTGTGCTTGATGCCTCTGTGGTCAGTTTGTCTGTTTGTGAAAATCGTATTCGATTTTTCTAGTTCGCACTTTCAAAGCAAAATGTTCTGGCAGCATTTAGAAAAGGCAGGTCATTCAGATCTTAGAGATGTGCATATGTCAGTAAGTCATCAGCATCAGTGAAGTACAAAACTTGCGTTCAGCTGCTCTTGAAATGCTATGATTTGTCCAGTGTAGTTGTATCAATGTCAGTGTGATTTCAGGGCAAGTTTATAATAAATGGCTTCCTTATCCTCTGAAGCTACTAATTGGCCATAAAGTCCAACCCAGCAGGAAGGTAAGCAATCGTTTCTCATAATGTGATGTGTTTCCTGTAAGCCACGTCAGGAGTCTGATGTTACTGATTCTGTACGACTCAGCATTTTTTTTTTTCGTGCATAATGTGTAAAGATTACATTTCCTGTGAGGATTCTCGTTTGAGATGATTTACTTTCTGTTGACTTTCTAATCCTCTGTTTGCCACCTTTATTAATGCAGCCTTCATTTATTCATCTCTGGCCTCATTCCCTTTAGGACCAGTCTGTTTTACTGATCTCCTTCTGTTAGATTGTTCCAAATGAGCAGATATGTTTCTGTTATGACATATAATATTAATACATGGGGCAAGGAGCAGCCTAGTGGGGAGGATGTGTTTTGTGCCTGACACCTCTACAGACATTCAACAGCAAGAGCAAAGTTTGTCTGTTTGAAATCTATACTGATATATTGAAAATGAATAGCATAGCATTATAGCATATAGGTACGGTTTCTTTATTATAATGTTTTTCTTTGCATAATGAAGAAGTATGGAATCCTGCCTAAATTATTACTCCCTCAGGGCCAAAGACTAAATAATGTCTGCCTCGTAAAGTGAAATTGTCCACCGTAATAGAAAAAGAGAAAAAATCGTTTAGTTAAAATGTTCAAATTGAAACAAGTCACATAAAACGAATGAATGCAAACAGCACAAGAACATGTACACGTGCAAAAGATTGAGGTTGGTAAGATAAACGCCAAACTTTCAACAACAACAAAAATCTTACTGACCCCAAAGGAAATTATGGAACTACAAATTATAAACATTTATATAAATTTAGGGATTCTCAGTAGCTACATCTGCAGTATTTTAAAATTATTATTATGTTTTAGATCAAATAACCTCATAATCAATTCAATCTTAACTAAGACACTGCATTTGATGAGAGCTCATGGTTCAGGAAGCAGGTTTTAGGCAAGTGTGCAGGGTGTTTTTTTTTGTTTGTTTTTCGGGAGAAAGTAGAATGAAAAGGAGACCTTTAGTTCCATTGACACCCTCATCATCTCCGACTTACTTCTTCTCTGGATGTGTTATTTTCTGCTTATTGAAGACATTGCATCAGTTATTTGAGTGCTTTCATTGATTGTGTGATGGTTGAGATTCCCTGACATATAACTTTATCAAACAGCGCCACATCTCACAAATCACTGTTTGTTGCCTCTCTAATGGTGTGAATCGGGGCAAAACCACTGCAGTAAAATGTTTTGGTAGTCTCCAGGTAGCTTTGGATGTGAGTTCAGACTCAGAGTATTTCAGGTTTATCTGTCATTGTTTTTTTCTCTCTCATTGTACATGGGTGTGAGACCCAGAGAGGTTTTATGCTAATGAGACTTTCAGCTATTTTAGTCTCATTTCACTTCACTCTCCTTCTCTCTCTTCAGGGATTTATCGCTGAGTTTAACTGCAGAGTGTCAGGAACTCTCAAAGGATTCTTGCCTCGCTCAAGCCAGTATTTTTCCTCATAGATCACAAAGCCAACAATAGGCCCAAGAGACCCCAATTCCAATTATGTGTCTGTCGAAACTCAATGTCTTTCATGAATATGCAACGACTGCTCTGTCCAAAACAAAATGATGTCAATGAATAACTTCTAATACTGAATCTTCTCAGTTGGAGCTTGTTCAGATGCTTTGATATCTCATGTGAGAGAACAACCCAGCGTTTTTTGGTTTGATTTACTACTGTCCTGTCTTGCAGGTTTCTACTGGTGTTCTCCTGCCTGGTTCTGTCAGTGTTCGCAACGATCAAAGAACACAAGAAAAGCTCTGAGAGTGCCTTGTACATCCTGGTTTGTATCTGATCCTCATTTAACATGATTTTCAGGCAGAAGCTGATTCATGGTAGTGTTGCTGTCAGATTTTTATATCAAACACTTCAGACGTATGTGTGCACATTGTAGACATTGTAGATCACAGTAGATCCTGTTCCACATTCTAAAAGAACGTGACAAGTTGGACATTATCCAGTGGTGATGTGAATTGCTGTGAACATGACACTTTATAGATCTGTTTGGGTCAGTGTAGCAGTAGCCATCAAGCACTTTCATAGTGCTCTTTTAACATAAAAAGCTTGGACGTGCTGTGATGTGTGTAAACATAGCTTTTGGCTATGTATAATCTACCTGTTACATTTATCTCATTTGTTAACAATTTGACTTTATATTATATTAAATTATAACTATAACTATATTTATATATATATATATATATATATATATATATATATATGTAAGACAGTACAAATAAATGTCAGTAAGTGGATGTGTCTGCTGTCTGTCTAGGAAATTGTGACAATCGTGGTGTTTGGTGTGGAATATATTGTACGGATTTGGGCAGCCGGGTGCTGCTGTCGCTACAGAGGATGGAGAGGAAGGCTGAGATTTGCTCGCAAACCCTTCTGTATTATCGGTTAGAAAATAATTTCAGTTTTTTTGGTCTGTTCTGATTTTCTTCTGTAATGCACGTTTCCTCCTCTCTCTCTCTCTCTCTCTCTCTCTTTCTCTCTCTCTCTCTCTCTCATCTCTCTCTCTCTCTTGCTATTCTTTCTGCTCAAGAGACAATAAAATCTTATAAAATTTTTTGAGTTATGACACTTGATACACTGAATGCCAGTGCTACAGTAGATTAATGTGAACTCCATTAGTGCAAGATTTGAAAGAATACTTAATGCCAGTGAATATGAGACTGATCCCAATCACATTACGGGAAAAGTTCACCCAAAACTGAAAATTCTGTCAGCATTTAACCACCCTGATGTTGAACACAAATAGAAAACATTCTTCAATATCTCTCTTGTGTTTTATTGAAGAAAGTATTCATGAGGGTGAGTGAATGTTGACAGAATAATGATTTTTGGGTGATCTATCCCTTTAAGACATTAGAAAGGAAATTATTCTAATTCTCTCTTCCTTCTTCCTTATTCTACATATAATGCACTCAAGGATGATGACAGTATAATTGGCTTAATCAAATAATTTTTTACATATGGACTTTCCAATCAAACGGCGTCTTAAAGGATGACAGTCGTCTTTGGAAGTTCATCTGATAATTAAAATACACTCTTGTTCTGCAGATATCATGGTCCTTTTTGCCTCAGTGTCTGTGTTGGCTGCTGGCTCACAGGGAAATGTTTTTGCCACCTCTGCCATTCGGAGTCTGAGGTTTCTTCAGATCCTTCGAATGCTGCGTATGGACCGCCGCGGTGGCACATGGAAACTCCTGGGATCTGTTGTTTACGCACACAGCAAGGTGACCATGCCTGTATTCATATGAAAGAATACAGTACATTTTTCTGTCCACACTGAAAGCAGAAATTCTGTGCATTGCAACAAAATCATTGTATCACATTGTGCCTGCCTGGTTAGGACAAAATGTTAAACACCAGATCATTTGTTAAACTCACGTATTGAGTGTCTATCAATATGCATACTGTATGTATAGACCAATGTTTATGTTTGTTTACATATGGACTTGTGTGCTGAATGGGTAGTAAATGTGTACTAATTGAACACAGATATTGCTGAAGTTCACATTAAGTAGGTTACCGAGTGAGCATATTTCCACCAGTCTGCCATTTGGGCCAGTGGGCTGCAAATTCATTATTATTCATTAGTTTCTATTACTGGAGAAACTATATCACTCTGTTTAGTCTGCAGCTATTAAAACTATTTAATGGCCTTAATCACCCTGTGAAATGGTTTAAAAGCACATTTCTTTGCTGTATTCAGAGATGTACTGAATAAGAAGCTGGGACAAGACTATTTAAAATAATCTTTTAATTTATATTGTAACAATGACTCTGTTCTTTTAAACTTTGTTCATTAAAGAATCCTGAAACAATGTAGCAGTTTCCACAAAAATATTAAGCAGCACAGCTGTTTTTAACTTTTTTTTAAATTATTATTAAAGAAAAGCACATTAGCATCTCAAGGCATAATACAGGTATTGCTGTTTTTAACTTTGATATAGTAAAATATGTTTCCTGAGCATCAAATCAGCATATTAGAATGATTTCTGAAGGATCATTGACACTGAAGACTGGAGTAATGGCTGATAAAAATTAAATTGTGCCATTACAGAAATAAATTACATTTAAAATATATTCAAATAGAAAACTAATTATTTTTCAAATTGTAATAATATTTCACAATATTACTCTTTTTACTGTTTTTGATTATAAATACTACTATGCTGAGCATTAAAGCAGTTTGACAAATAATCTTTATATGGCATTGCATGCAGTTATCATGTTTTATTTTAGGTTAGGAGTGCATCACATGTTCTGGATTTTCCTAACATTTCTGAATCCCTAAATGTAGGAACTCATTACGGCATGGTATATTGGATTCCTTTGTCTTATCCTGGCATCTTTCTTGGTGTACTCAGTGGAGAAGGATGACAATGCAGAGATGTTCGACACTTACGCAGACGCCCTCTGGTGGGGGCTGGTAAGTGCTACAGCTTCATCCGAGCCCACAGTAGCCTGCTGCCTCAATCTAATCAGATCAAATGAGATGATACGACACAGTGAAATAAGATGCTGTTCATAGATCCATTTCACAAATGGACCAGTGCCATAAAAGAACTGGCTGCTCCTCTTAGGCTCCTTTGGCAGATCATTTTACTCCAAAGTGACTTATAGTAAACTAATAGTGGACATTACTCCGTAAACTGGTCTCAAGGACACAACAGGATCCCAACATGAGACTGAACTTATAACCTCTACGTGACCATCCTAGAGCCTTACTAGGTTATATTATTAGTATATACACAAGCTATGCCATTGTTAAGCAAAATCATTTCTATTCTCTAGGTCACTCTTACAACTATCGGTTATGGGGACAAGTTTCCTGTCACGTGGAATGGGCGTCTAATTGCTGCCACATTCAGTCTGGTCGGTGTAGCTTTTTTCGCTCTTCCTGCGGTGAGTTCAAACCAAAATCACGTGTTGAGCATCTCCAGTGCCTGACTTCAGACTTGGCTCACATACAGTTGTATTTCTGCACCGTTTTCTCTGTTGCAGGGAATCCTGGGCTCAGGATTTGCTCTAAAAGTTCAAGAGCAGCACAGACAGAAACATTTTGAGAAGCGTCGTAACCCTGCCGCGGCTATTATCCAGGTCAGACCTATAACTCTACTGTAATTCACACCAGACACATTCTGAGGAAATCAGCATGTGTAGGCCTTTCTGGTGTCTATAAATGTGCTTACTAATATCTTTCAGTTGGACTACTAATACCATATTTAGTTGATGTTGACTTTGCTATGATAAAAATTATAAATTGAGGATCATCTTTCAACTTTCACTCTCATCAGGTTTTCTTTGATTTAGATGGCTTGAAATGTTGGTGGTTACTGCATACGGTAATGTATTACTATGGAAGTCATTTGCTGCCATAGAAGTTAATTTCAATGATTTTTTCCCCCCACATCAGGCAGCTTGGAGATTTTATGCCACAAATCTTTCACGGACAGACCTGCTGTCCACATGGGACTTTTATGAGCAGACTGTGTCGGTCCCAATATACAGGTAGTCATCTTGTAGACCACTGTAACTGTAGATACTGTATTTTAATGACCCATTTCTTTGTTTGTTAGTATGTTGTTTTTCTGTTTATATTAATTCTCATTAGTGTTTTTGAATATTTTCAACTTCTTTTAATAAAAACAGAAACACTCTCTTCAGCAGTTTATTGCAGTTTGATATGCTGTTTTTAAGCATTTTAAAAGTCTTTTCACTGTTCTGCCTCTACCTAAAGACTCATCCCTCCTGTAAATCAGCTCGACATTTTAAGAAGCCTGAAGGGAAAATCTGGTTTCAGGTCTGGTCATTTTACTAAAGAGCATTTAAAATATTAAAATGTAAATAATCTCAGAGGGGTCTAAAGTCTGAGACCGCACTGAAAATCTGGATTTTTTTTAACACATTCAGCACTATTACTAACTCATTAATCAAAGTGATTGATCATGTGACTCTTTGCACACATGGTCAGATGTTTTTGCTTCCGATGCTCTTTGGATCACATCATGCTTGAGAACATAATAATCAGGCTTTACACAAACTTGTAGTTTTTACGGCTGAAATGCTGATAATTTTCACTCAAATTGTTATGCTGATAATATAATAATAAAACCTATATTAGAAAAGAATGGGAAAAAATGAAAAAAGAAAGGCAGAATATATACACTCACTAGTTCTCTCAGCCTTTTGGCCTCCACTGTATTTGTGAATGTTATTCCTGTTTAAAATGTTTGTTCGTGGTGTTGCCTGCTTTAATCCCGTGTCTTTATTGCTTTCAACATCACATTTTTCTCTCTTTCTAAAGGAAGGACTCCCAGCTAGAAGTCAATCCAAGGTTTGTTGTCATGGATTTTCCCATAGATACTTCACTATTCCCAAATCACGTCATTCAAACACACAGATAATCGTAGTTTCACAGCACCATCATCATTTTTCAAATGAGAAAACAGCCCATATTGCTGTGTTTGAAGTCATTTGTAATCACAAAGGTTATTCAAAGACAACCTGGTTGCACTTTATACTACAGTATCTTCAGGTGGTTTTTACAGGGAGATGAATTAGTCAGTATCATACTGACACAGCATAATCAATGCAGTTTAAAAGTATTAATGCTGAAATGTCTCATTAAAGAAAACAATCACACGTGTTTTTTGGTGTTCTGCCCTGTAAAAAACCTGCTATTGTAATCAAGTGCAACCTGTGACTCATTAAACCAACATGTTCCTTCAGTTCATTAAGTGTAACAACACCTACCCTGTTGAAAAAAAACAGCATATGCTGGTTAGGTAGGTTTTGAAGCATGACAGCTTGTTTAAGCTGGTCCTGAGCAGGAGCTAGTTGCTTAGGACCAGCACTTGACCAGCTCATAACCAGCTTAAACCAGCTCATGACCAACTAAGGACCAGTTCAAACCAACTGCCAAACTTCAAAACATTCCTAACCAGTGTATGCTTGTTTTTTCAACAGGGTAGCTCAAAATCTGTTGGATGTTTTGGGGGGTTTTAGGGGGAAATACCTCAGTTGAAGTCCCATAGTTGGACATGGCCTAAACCATTTTTGACCACTGCTTGTATAATCTTTTCTCTCTCACGACCCACTCCAACCACATTCGCAGTAGTGAGATTTCACACAAAGACACCCTGTGTGGGTGCTGCCCGAGAAGCCATAGGTACCGTTGCACACAGATACTAACGTCTGCACGCCCAGATCTCTCTCTTCAGCATTTGAATTTGTCTCTTTCCTTCCCTACTGACTTTGATGTTTCCCCTATACCTAAATGTATTCCTTCAGTGTGTACCATCATCAGCTCAAGTTAAATATTTCAACATTTTTTGAGACATACAGCATAGTGCACATTCGTGTTTTAATCTCTCGTCAGCTAAGGTGGCCTGAGATATGTTCTGCTCTCCATCATCTAAAAATGTCGTCTTGTTCGAACCAGAGAAACAGACATTTGTTTAGCTTTGTGGTAGAGTTTTGCTTGCGGATCAACTTTCCCACTTTGCAGCTGGAAGCGCTTCCCTTCGCTTTTTACCTCAATCCCACGAGAGCATCCTCCTCTGCAAGCTGCCTTGTATTTTATTGGGGTCTCTCACTTTTTCATTTATTAATTTGGCTGTTTTTTTAAAAGGTGTTTAATATAACGGTTGTGTATTTTTTCAGCATGCCCAACAACATGCATGTGTTTCATTGCTTTGTTGTTGAAAAGCTTCCGTTGTGGCAGCATGTGGGTCTGCTGTTGCATCCAGAAGTTGTGGATTGCATTTCATGACTGAGAAGCACCATTATCCATGTCTTTTCCCATGTAAGTCCGATCTTTATTAAAGTAGAATGCAGAAACGATTCATTCAGTGTTTGCTAAGGAATTAAAATGTGTTTTAATGTACAGTTGTGAAATTGCTTACAGTGTCTAATGGTTACATGTTTCAGTCATTTTAGAAATTTACATTTCGGTGTTTTCTTTTTGGTGGCTTCAAATTTTTTTTTTTTTATAAGCTGTAGCATGCAAACAAGAAAATATATCAGTAAACAGTTATACGTTTTCTAGTAAATATGCTTTTAGCTGTTTAACCAATTCTATCTGATGAAATCCATCTGCACTTAGTTTTAATTTTGAATTTTCTTAGTTTTAAATGTTAATTTTTATTTATGTTTTAAATGTATTTATTTATTTGTTTATTTTGCACTGGGCGATGTAGACTTGTACTGACTTGTAGAATGGACTGATATTTAGCGACATAAATTGTCAAGCAAAAACAAATACATGTATACTTCTATATAAAAATATAATTTAAAAAAATCTAAGGTATTAAGAGTTGTTTTCAGAGAATATATACTGAATTAAGTTTTTTAAAATCTGTTTAGCACCATTTTTTGTTGCTTAAATCTTATGAAAAAAGTGAGATTTATACTTAAAACAAATGTTAATGAGAGATAGACATACAAAGTTACTTTTTAGCAGTTTATGGTCATTAATATAATTTACTGAGTATTCTCTTTTTAGCACTGGGTGGTTTCAGGAATTATTTCTGTCCCCACACTGGAAAATAGTTTAAGTGTGGGCTCGGGATGATTTGTCTGTTTCCTTTGCTTTTTTGTTTGTCTTTTGTGTGTCATTGTGTCTGCTGTGCAGTCGTAAGCCCAGCTTGAAAGAGAAAGGCAGTCCCTCTAAGAGCACCGGGGGGAAGGAAGCTAAGACCCCCAAGGCAGAGGAGGGAGCCAAAGAGAGTCCAAGCAAAGTGACCAAGAGCTTGAGCTTCACAGAGCGGAACAAAGCAAAACACGCTTTCAGAATGAAAGATGGAGCTTCTCGGCAGAACTCTGAAGGTCAGAGAATGTTGTCATGCACACATACACAGGAATATTGGGATACACACACTGTTATTCGGAGTGCAAGATAAATGCTGATTTTAAATACTTAAGTACATTTACCTGTACATTAAATTATTTTCTTTTTTTTTTCTTAAGTGTCAGTGTGGGACTTCAGCAGCTAGAGAGAATAGTTTGTAATTCCCTGGCACAGTACCAGATGCCACACTGGATTGCTCAATGTATTTTAGCACAAAAGATGGTGTCAGTGACAGTCCATTCATTAGAATTCATAAGACGACAGGTGTGTGTTTCTATTTAAAGAAACAGCCCAACAGAAAAACTGATCTGTATTTCAGGTTTAGTCCCCTTGCTGAAACACATGAAAGTGGCTTAATGTTTCAAAACATATCCGCAGAGAGTTGCAGTGGAACATTGTATTATTCTCTAAAGATTTAATAGGTTTAAAAGGTTTATATGGCCTTAGATGCTTGATCCCCCAAAATATTTCATCCATGATGAAAATGCTTTGGGGGGAATTGACTAAGAATGAATTGCATCAGCTGATAGTGTTTTTATGTATTTATTTTTTGCACATGCTACTGCATTTGTATTGTTTGTAATCTGATTCACTACAGGAACTGCAAATCAGGCAACAGTGCAAACGCCTGAATATTTCATACTAAATTAAATTTACACAGGAGCATTTGCTGATTTAGCATGTTTGCCCTGGCAAGACTGACAATTAAACTGGATTTTCAATGTTTTTTTTCCCACTAAAATACCGCTTGCTACAGTGTCACAGTTGTTAAGTGAATTTGCCCCTTTCTGTTTCTCTCATGACATGTTTTGTGCTCTTGGCATAACTCTGCAGTGCTCAACTTCAGAAAAAAAAAATATATATATATATATATATATATATATATATAAATGGATCCATTTGATGTATTTCACTTCCTTCACACTCATCGGTTTCTCTCTCATTTCTCTCTACTGGAAAAAAATAAAGTGCTGATTGAGTTGCAAGACGAGGACTTCGCCGTGAAGAGTTCTCCAGGTTAGGCCATGATCCAGAAATATGATCCAAAAAGCACAGAGATGACAGCGCAGTTTCTCTTAGAAGTTGACTATATTTAATCAGAATCTGTAAGCACAGCAATGTAGCGATCACTGCTCTCGCAAAGGCCATCTGGTAGAAATGACAAGCTATAATGCTGGATAAATAACAAACAGCATCACAGGCCGCAGCTGAGTGAATTCATATAAATAACTTATGTAGCAATGACACCACAGCATAAGCAATACGAGAAACAGATTTCACTTCCCGAATCATACAATTATTGTGACTTTCCATGAATACGGTATTAAAAAAAGCCAAACAAAATATTCAGTCCAATGCTGTTTCTATAAGGTTTGCCATTTTGGAAGCCCTGATGTTAAATGTTGAGACGGTTCAAAAACACCTGATATGTGTGCTAGAATTAAATATTTACTAGCATTAAATATTTTTCAAATAATAAATACATATATAAATAATAATAAAAATTAAAAGGGAAAACGTGGGATTTGTGCCTCTTATGCTTTTTTTAAAAAAAAAAAGTAATTGAATATTAAATTATACCGTTTTCATGAAAAGTGCTTTTTAATGAGGTGTAAGCAAATCTCCCCCTCTTGAGTGAATTCATATAAATAACTTATGTAGCAATGACACCACAGCATAAGCAATACGAGAAACAGATTTCACTTCCCGAATCATACAATTATTGTGACTTTCCATGAATACGGTATTAAAAAAAGCCAAACAAAATATTCAGTCCAATGCTGTTTCTATAAGGTTTGCCATTTTGGAAGCCCTGATGTTAAATGTTGAGACGGTTCAAAAACACCTGATATGTGTGCTAGAATTAAATATTTATTAGCATTAAATATTTTTCAAATAATAAATACATATATAAATAATAATAAAAATTAAAAGGGAAAACGTGGGATTTGTGCCTCTTATGCTTTTTAAAAAAAAAAGTAATTGAATATTAAATTATACCGTTTTCATGAAAAGTGCTTTTTAATGAGGTGTAAGCAAATCTCCCCCTCTCCTAATGTAAAATAAGCCTAATATAAGCAAAACCATGTGTTATACATTTGCATGGTTGAAATCATTGTCATCTTTGACCATTTTTCTCTCATCTCTCTCTCTATTTATTCCTCTCTATCTTTCACCTTTTCTCTCTTTTTCTCTTCACATTTTGGCAGCGATTGTGGGCTTAATCAGTAAGACTTTATATTGTCCGGGGCTGCATCTCTTTAGCACTAGTCCAAAAAAAAAAAACATTTGCATGGTTGAAATCATTGTCATCTTTGACCATTTTTCTCTCATCTCTCTCTCTCTATCTTTCACCTTTTCTCTCTTTTTCTCTTCACATTTTGGCAGCGATTGCGGGCTTAATCAGTAAGACTTTATATTGTCCGGGGCTGCATCTCTTTAGCACTAGTCCAAAAAAAAAAGAAATCTCAACGGCAGTCTAAAGAAACACTATGCATGTTTTAAAAATAGCTCCTTAATTACTTCGCTGCAGCATATCTTTACAGCTCTGCCCATCATCTAACACTCTCTGTCATGAACGCTTGGCTGAAAGTTTCATCTCACTTGAAGCATCACACAAAATATGAATTTCTTCAATGATGCTTGGCTAGTTTTTACAGCAGCTGTATTAGCCTTATCTGTCACCCATATGACGGTGGAGTGTGATAGTAGAGCAAAGCAAATGTTACTCATTTGTCTCAGCCTGGATATCTGTCTCATGCTCATCCCATGACAGAATGTGTTCCATGAAGGTGTTAATGAAACACTGCAACTTACACTTTCCATCAAGTACTTTGCACTAACCTGCATGACAGAATTTCTCAGCTTATGAAGGAAACAAGTTTGTTTTGTCTTGTGCTGTTTCAACTAGCTGGTTGTTATGTAATTTGAATAGGATATGCTTTTTCGGCTGTCACATCCTCTTTCATATGGCATAAGGATGACACATGTAGTACTAATACTTAAGCTTTTTTTGTCTTAGCTTTTCATGTTAACCAGCGGTTTTCAGGGGGTTGAAATTTGCCCGATTGCTAGATTTTGTTAGGTGCACAAAAGTTTCTCTCACATGTGCTATTGTGATAAATGCTCAGGCTAGCAGGTTCTGGTAAGTGCTTCATGCATGAGTAACACTATTGTTTAATACTTTGAAATATTAAAGCATGTCTGAAGCTTTTGACTAATGCTGACAAAGTGATCATGAGATTAAGAGGGATATCAGTTTCACAGACGCAGAAATTTGGACTCTTTTTCATCTATTTTTCCCCCCGGAGCACCTCTGAAGTGTGGAATAAATTAATTTCAATTTAGAAAATCTCACTTGTCATTTAGCATTTACTTTTTTCCAAAGTGTATAATGAATAAAAGGAAAGTCATTTTGGGGTAATTTGTAATTTAAGTGCCTTACTCAAGGAAATCCTCTGATTTGATGTGCTTAGGGATAGGTCTCCCAAAAATTTAAATTGTCATCATTTATCCAACCTTATGTCGTTTCAAGCCTGTATGAGGATCTATAATATTTTACTCTAGCAATATCACATGAGCAACTATTGTACTGAATTTCAGCATAGCTGTGCATAGCCTTATTCCTACAGCTAAAACACAGTCATGCTGATTTTCAGAACACCGTCATCATTTGCAAGTGTGATATTGATTTTATACAACAGTTCTGTAAATAGGACGTTATTTCAAGTAGGGCTGCATGATTATGACAAAAATCATAATTGTCGATTATTCCTTTGTAATTGTAACTGCGATTATTAATTTGCGATTAAATGAATGATGTTTACACCTTTGTTTGAAGCAACTGCATGCCATATTAGTATATGAAAATAAACAAGCTGAAAACACTAACTGAAAAACTTTTATTGCTTTTCTATAGTATTAAGCCTCAAATGTCAACTATACATCGGATTGGTTTCTCTTTACATCAAAAGGTAAAAATATGCATGGTATTATAATGTTATACTAAAACTATAAAACTAAACTAAAATTAAAACAATGGAAAAACCCTTAAGATAACATGTAGAAAGAAAAAAAAGCATCTTAAGCATGCAGAATAACATAAGTGGACTTTGAACGATTAATTGCTGCTTTGAACGATTATGTAATTGTAATTGCGATTAGAAATTCGATTAATTGTGCAGCCCTAATTTCAAGTAACTTCACACAACTTCAACTTGATGCTCTGGTTGAGAATGGCGGTAACGCAGGCAGAGTGATACTAACATTGACAAGTTGCACTGCTGTTGGACTACAGTAAATATCACTCTTGGAACGCCGCTCAGCCAATTGAATTCAAGGACTGGAACTAACTGTTGTATAATGTGGAGTGCCTTTAGCAGTTTATCGAGCATGTCTGCCATGGCAGATGTTTTCTGTAATCTTTAATCTTGTCAAAGGGCTGTTCTTCGTTAACATTAGGACTCTTTACATTGGGAGCAGCCTGTGGTTTTGTGTGTTGTAGAGGCAAGTCTTCCAGACGAGTTTGGGGACGACAAGGATTTCCACTGTGAGTTTGTGCCGGATCTTTCTCCGGGACTCAAGGTCACCATCAGAACAATCTGGTAAGAGGCAGCAATCTCCAGACTAGAAAAGACTAGGGGTAGAAATATTTGCTCTCACAACAATTAGGTATAATTATAATTATTTTTAAAATACTAAATACATTTTAATTTATTTTAAACATATTTTATTTTTTAATGATTCATAATTGTTTAAAAATGCTGAAAATACTAATTTAACTGGTGGGACAATCAAATGTTTATTACATGATCATTTTCAGATATGTTAAACCCTAATTAAAGACCTCTTCTGTCTTTCCCAGTATTATGCGGTTCCTGGTGTCTAAGAGGAGATTTAAAGAGAGCCGTAGGCCCTATGACGTGATGGATGTGATTGAGCAGTATTCAGCAGGCCATCTGGACATGCTGTCACGCATCAAAAACCTTCAGTCCAGGCAAGACTTCAGTCTGTCTAGAACAAAAGAATCACATCACAAAGTTTTCACCATTGTGGCAACCTTCTAACAGGGACAGGATGAGAAGGGTCTGGCTGCAGCCTCGCACTTGCACTCTCAGACTTGCACTCTCAGACTTGCATTCTCAGACTTGTACTCTCAGACACTTGCGCTTCCACTAGCGAAATTTTTTATGACTTTTTGTTTGAATCTCTCAACATTTTACAACAGTAGCCAGGTGGTGAAGACAAGAAAAAATCAACTAAATTACACTGTCACTTGCAATCGCCACTTGCACTCTCCGCTACCTGCAACGTCACTTGCGATCGACACAATGTTTATGTTTTTCTACAGGAGGAAAACGCTTAACGAGAGACTTTGTGCACTGCGTTCATATTCTGCTATTCTGTGGCGACGGATTTGCAGGTCTTGTCTTTTTCTTGCAGGACCCTGTATGTTATAATACTAAATTAGTTTTAATCGTTTAATCACCACAACTTCTTGTCTCTATTGGCAACACGCACCATTTGTGGCGATTGCAAGTGACATTGTAATTTAGTTTCTTTTTTCTTGTCTTCACCACCTGGCTACTGTTGTAAAATGTTGAGCGATTCAAACAAAAAGTAATCAATAAATATAACAAAATAAAAAAATAAAAGACTGCAAGTGATGTTGCTAGCGGAAGCGCAAGTGTCTGAGAGTGCAAGTCTGAGAGTGCAAGTGCAAGGCTGCAGCTAGACCCTCTTGGACAGGATCCACCTGCTTCATTAGTCAATCAGTATTTGTCAAGAGCTGTAGCTGGAATGTGAGCTGCACCCTCTGGTGGTCACTATTTGATATTACAGAAAGATTAAAAAAACAGTCTAAAGCAGGATGAGATACTTCATCAAACACTGCTTGATCAAAATCACATTCACAGTGGTTTTATTTTCCACCATTTGTGGCGATTGCAAGTGACATTGTAATTTAGTTTCTTTTTTCTTGTCTTCACCACCTGGCTACTGTTGTAAAATGTTGAGCGATTCAAACAAAAAGTAATCAATAAATAGAACAAAATAAAAAAATAAAAGACTGCAAGTGATGTTGCTAGCGGAAGCGCAAGTGTCTGAGAGTGCAAGTCTGAGAGTGCAAGTGCAAGGCTGCAGCTAGACCCTCTTGGACAGGATCCACCTGCTTCATTAGTCAATCAGTATTTGTCAAGAGCTGTAGCTGGAATGTGAGCTGCACCCTCTGGTGGTCACTATTTGATATTACAGAAAGATAAAAAAAACAGTCTAAAGCAGGATGAGATACTTCATCAAACACTGCTTGATCAAAATCACATTCACAGTGGTTTTATTTTCCGTCACATTCAAAATGATTTGAATTTAGATTCACTCCTCTTCTCTCAAATAAGCCTCATATATGTTGTGAAATAACATCCACACATATTCCAATATATTCCAACGGCAAAAACCATTTCTATCATACATGTAAACATGAAACGCTGTTCCTAGAAGTGGGTGAGAACAGACATGTATGGAATTTATTCTTTCTTATTTGTCGACGGTCCTCGCTGGGGTACAGGGAGTGGTTTCCATGTGTTGCTTGATGATGCTTGGTATCCATGTTCTCTCTGTGTACTTTGCCAGGATAGATTTGATTGTGGGTCCCCCTCCCCCCTCGACCCCTCGTCACAAGAAGTACGTAATCATTCACCAATGGCGTTCCCAGGCTGAATGGGTTTATTATTGGACAGCATCGTATTAAAAACTGCAGTGTCATGACAGTTAAATGACTGAAATCGTGAGGGGAAACTTGTCACTAACTGGTACAGTAGGATTGTTTCTTGATTGGTTATTCTGTGTTCACCTTGAGAAAGATTTACATTTTGGATGGATATAATTATCCATTAATAATTCACTGCTTTAGAATTGAGCATATGAAAAGTTCTTTCTTGACATTTTTAATAAAAAGTGTTTTTGCTGTACAATAATACAACACACTATGGTGTGACCATGCAGCCTGTTTACCGGGGGACGGATGCAATTGTGCATGTTGTTCCAGGCTTTAAAGAAGAGAGAATAAATTAAATGTATAGTGTGTAACACACAAAGCATCATAAGGCATGGAACCAGGTGACATTTTGAAATTACTTTTCATTTATTTTCCCACATTATTAATTATAGAATTGAAATTCCCTGCCATTGAAAAACAATGTTGAGAAGCTACTTTAAGGATGCAAAATCTTTCTGAGGATATCATTTATAATTTAATGTGGGAGTAATTACCGACTGCATTGATGCGACAGCAGCGAGAATGAATCTTAAACATTGCAATTTAAAAAAAGACCCCAAACATGGAGGCTAAGGATGTGTGCATTCACATGCGGAAAAGATTGTGTGTATTCAAGTACAGGCATGGATCTTCCAAACAAGTGGATCAGATTGTGGGAAAGGGAGCTGCACCAGGAGAAAAGGACAAGCCCAAAAGCGACACAGAGATGGCTGAGGACCCAAGCATGATGGGATGTCTAAGCAAGATGGAGAAACAGGTGAAGCAGGTTACATCAAGTTCATTTGGTATAGAGTTGTGCACTCTTAAAATAAAGGTTCATTATTGACATCTATGGTTCCATAAAGAACCATAACATCCATGGAATGTCTTCATTCAACAATAGTTCTTTATAGTGAAATTAAAATAAAAGTACTAAAAAAAAATTTTTTTTTTAATTGTTTTAAGAACTGTTAACTGAAAGGTTCTTTGGGGAATCAAAGATGGTTCTTCTATGTGACCCACTTTTGTAACTTTTTTTTTTAAGAGTGTATATGTCAGAGCTAAAGGGCCTCGTTGTCTCTCCTTGTGCAGGTGGGGGCAATGGACCTCAAACTCAACTTTTTGGTCAGCATGTACACCACCCATATGGGCATCCCACGATCTGAGACCGAAGCCCTTCTGGGCTTTAAAATCCCTTACCAAAAAAAAAAACACCTCTTCTTTTATTAGTTTGCGTAGTCACCACAGCGAATGCAGTATCAAATACACTTTACCTTACAACTATAATTTTGATTCATGAGATATTTATTTATTAGCAATGTCTTTTCCTGAAATGCGTTATGAGACTATAATGAAACGAGTAGTTAATCAGGGCATGTGTTCGTAGTAAGCATTTAATTAACATTTTAAATTGAAAGGTTTGTTTGGAGAAAATAATTTCAGCCAAAGAAAAAGACGGCAGAAAGCTGAGCATGCCTTACAGGTACTTCTTCCCTATTACATTTCTCATCTGTAGGATAGAAAGATTAATTAATTTTTTATAGCTACATTTAAAGTCAAAGCACCTACGGATAAAGACGCGTACTTTTGGAGGAACTATTAATATTTGCAGGAACCCTGGTGATGGTCAGAGGAGAAATATTCATTCTATTGTATGCAATCGGTTTTAATTTTCTAGAATTGGTAACTTGCACTATGATGTCATGTTTTATGCTGTAGTGAAGACCCTGAATAATAATAATCAGACCTAAAAAAATACATTAAATGCATGGCATGTTTATGGAATATAGCTTGTTGACAACCTAATAGGATGACAAATGAGATTAGAAAGAAATGGCAATGAAAGAAAGCCCCTTTAACTGCAGTCAGAGATAAAAGAACTGAAAAGGTATCAAAAGTATTTATTTGTTTAGTTTTTTTAGGTCAGTTTTACTCTGAAAGCACTTGTTTGTACAGGATTCCTGTAGGGCCCAGAGACCACGTACATCTGCAAATGTATCACTTTTCCTAGTAAAAAGGAGGGAGATTAATCTATCTAGATGTAGTTTACATAAGAAAACAGGAAAAACCATGTTAAAAGACAAACATTTTTCAAACTGTATTTCAAAGCGCTGTTCAAACATTACAATAATAGGTTGCATTCTGTAAGGAAATAAAGTTGGTTTTATCTCAAGCTGCTGGTGTGTCTGTTTCATGAGATTTTGCATGGCCTTGTGCAGTGGTTTCTCTATCATACTTGCAGAGGCCTTGATATTTATTTTGGGTTTTGAATCATATTGAATATCCAAGATCCATGTGAATTCAGTAGATCCAGTCCAGGGTGTCTGTGGCCCACCAGTAAGACAGCACACCCACTGCTGTCACTAGACTCCCTGCGATCACTGACTGCAGCAAGAAAAGACACTATATAGAGATCAAAACAGAGTTCGGTCACAGTCTGAACTGTTAGGTTAGATTATTGGCTTTATTATTAATAACTTTAATGCTGTTGGGCTTGAGGCTGATACATTAACTTGAATGGTATTTTTGTACATTTTGAGCCAATTAATATTGACCTTATTTCTTTTGGGGTGTTCCTTCAGCTTCTTGTCTTCCTTTTGTAACCCCTTTGGTAAGACTTTGTACCTTCCTGTGTACAAGCGTCTCTCATTTGGTTCATCAGAATCACTTTGGTCCTGAAAAGTGGATTGCAGTAATACAATGACCGGTTACTATTATTTTATCATTTTGTTGTATCCTATGATCTGATGTTCTCACCTCAGTCTTCAGGATGCTGGCAGTGTCATCTTCTGTGTTTGATTCCTGTTCACTGCTGCAGGACAATATAAAATGCAAACTTACACATCTGAAATATGAATGATATTTGAAGCTGAATGAAATCCATCTTACCTATCATTATCTTCCTCGTTTTGAGAAGATTGTTGGTGAAACCTTAACATAACTTTGTGAGTCCCGTCTGTTACTGCTGAGAGAAATGTACACGTATACACTCTTAAAAATAAAGGTGCTTCAAAAGGTTCTTCAAGCGATCTTACCTTTTTATAATCTGAAGAACCTTTTTCAGATGTTAAAGGTTCTTTATGGAACCATTTAGACAAAAAGGTTCTTCTATGGCATCGTGAAGCACCTTTATTTTTAAGAGTGTATTTACTCATTTAGCAGGCATTTGTATCTGAACCCATGATCTTGATACTAACGTCATGCCCTAACATTTTAGCTAGAGAAACAATTTTCCCAGCAATACACTGGGATTTTAAATTTTTATAGGGGAATTGAAAGTGTGTAAATGTCTGTATGTCTGTGTCTGTGTCTGTGGGTGACCCTGGACCACAAAACCAGGGTTTTCTTAAGTTGCACGGGTACATTTGTAGCAATAGCCAAAAATACATTATATGGGTCAAAATTATCGAATTTTCTTTTATGCCAAAATCATTAGGATATTAAGTAAAGATCATGCTCCATGGAGATATTTTGTAAATTTCGTACCGTAAATATATTAAAACAATTTATGATTGGTAATATTCATTGCTAATAACTTAATTCGGACAACTTTAAAGGCACTTTCGCACCCTCAGATTCCAGATATTCAAATAGTTGTATCTCGGCCAAATATTGTCCTATCCTAACAAACCATACATCAACGGAAAGCTTATTTATTCAAATCTCAGTTTCGAAAAACGGACCCTTATAACTGGTTTTGAGCCATTACTCCAGTCTTCAATATGCTGATTAGGGGCTCATTTCTTATCATCATCAATGTTGAAAATAGTTCAACTAATCATGATATATTTTTTCAGGATTCTAAAAGAACAGCATTTATTTGAATTTGAAATCTCTACTATAAACTATAAATGTATATACTGTCTCTTTTGATCAATTGAATGCATCCTTGCTGAATAAAATAGGATTTTTTCTAAAAAAACAAAACAACAACTATTGAACGGCAGTGTTATTTCTATAGAAACATGGAAATTTCAGCACTTACCCTCATTTTGCTCCTCTTTAAAAGACTCTCCATAATATCTGTTACATGCTTCAATTCTAGCTTGTTCCTGCTCCATATCCCTCTCTATTTCAATTTTCAGCTTCTCCAAGAAATCATCATCGTCATCACAGATCACCTTACTTGAGTTCATTTTAAAGAACTCTTCTTCCTCATTAATATCACGGTCATAATCATCAAGCTTCATGTTGTCCTCATCCATCAGAAAGGTACTGATATTTTCTCTGATGTCTGAAACTTCTGAGGGTTCACGGCTGTCTTCTTTGTTGCTTTGGTCTTGTTTGATTGAACTGGACTCTGGAGGATGCACCTCACTGATGCAACCATTTGTGCTTGGTTCCTCTTCACTGCTGTGTGGAAAACCCACATCCAAATCAAATTTATGAGCTTATATGCTGCTCTAAAGTATAAGATATGTACGTAACACAAAATACTTTACATGTGAAGTGTCAAACTTTGAAATCTGTCTTACCTGTAACTATTCTCCTCATACTGAGAGGATTCTGGCTCCAAACAAAATGTCACTTTGTGGCTTCTCGCTGTTGTTGTTGGGAAAGAATTTACCAAATTTTAAAATTGTCCTAATAAAAAATGTGATAAAATGATTATTATTATTATTATTTGTATTAGCATGTTAAGATGGTTCACAAATGAGCATTTACCCTTGTTTTCCTCTCCTTCGACAGGCTCGTAGTATCTGTTAAATGCTTCAATTCTTGCCTTTTCTTTCTCCCAGTCCCTCTCGGTCTCCTCTCCGTCATTCTCCAGCTCTTCCAGGAAATTGTCCTCTTCATCACAGATCACCTCTTCTCCATTAATGTCCCAGTCATACTCATCAAGCTTCAAGTTGTCCTGGGACCAAAACATCCCAGGTAACAAAGTATTGTTATTTTCTCCAATATCTGAAACTTCTGAATGTTCAGTGTTATGTTCTTGGTTGTTCTGGTCTGTTTTCACTGAAACAGACTCTGATGGATGTGACTCACCCACACTTATGTTTTCAGATGAATCAGTTTCAGTAGAACCTTTCATTACAGATGCTGGAATGCTTGATAAACCTTCTAAACTACACATCTCTGGTTTCTGACTATCTTTGACCACCCCATCCACTACTTCATGCTCAGTACTGTGCCAGTCTGTAGCAAAGTCCTTTGTGAAGGTGTGCTCTTGTTTCTGGAGAGGTGCGTTTTTGTCCTCTGAGACTGTATGTGAAATGAATTCAGGTATATCTTCTTGGTTTTTGCAGTAGTCACCATCACTGCTGAAATCACTATCGTAGTCGGGCTGCTCATTCATGTAGCATTCACTGGAATTGGATTGGAAATTCTCAGAGAATCCAAAATCAGAACTTTCCCCAATGTTTGAAATCTCACGGTGATATCCAGCATCTCTAAAAGTGCTCTGCTTTGTCTGGAACAACATGCCATCATCAGATTTCCCAGTTTTTGCCTCCACATACAGATCCTCATTCTTGACATAAGTGAACATGTCTGCAGGATCCATACATTCACCTTTCTTTTGGACATCATCAACACTGTAAGTCAGTAGAGGTTCTTCTGGGTTCTTCGTCTCATAGGAACAACCTAGGCCTACAGCCTGCACCTCAACTAAATTGGTGTCTGTGTGATTGGGTTGTCCACCCTCATGACCTTCACTGCTGTCCCCACTGTCACTTTGAGACAGATCAGAGGGATACTCTGCTAAACCTTCCTCGTCTCTCTCATGATCTTCTTCTGTAAACTCTTTCATGTCATCCCCAGACTGGACCTCCACTGATGCTACTTTCCAATCTTGTAATGTTGACTGTATGGCACTAAAACGATTGAGCTGCTTATCATCTGGTGCATGCTGCAGGACATGTTCCTCAGTGCTATCTGGCACCATTCTTTCCTCTTTTGACGTTGAGCTTTCATTATCAGATTTATCCACCATCTGGTAGGACAGTAGATAAGATGCGGTCTCCTCCTGAGTCCTTGTGCTCATTGTTTCCAGACCATAGTGAGCTCCTTTTGGAAGAACCATTTCCAGCACACTGACATCTTCAGCTTGTTCCTTGTTCATTTGATGGATATCTTCATGTATCTCAAATTCATTCTCTCTGCAATCCTCTTCATGCAAGCTTAATTGCTGGTTTTGGGTTTGTGTCTTATTTTCGACTGTATCGTTGTCATCCCATGAACCACAAAGCGTAGATCCTGCCTTCATGCTTTGTTCATCTAAAGAGAAG